TATTACATCGTTACACCCAATCATTTTCTACACAGTTCCTCCTTAACTTGCCAATATGCTGTAAAATTTGCTGTATTTGCAATCTCTTTGCTTTCCTATTGATGAGCGTATTAAGATCAATGGAATTGAGTTCTGGAGCAGAGTGTATTCGTCCTGAATACTATAAATGGTTAAGTTCCACTGCGCTTCAGTGCAATAGCACTAGCGATACAGTTGAAGGTAAAAGATGCTTCTAATGACTAGAATTTAAAATAACAACCTTTCCTTGTTCCTCAAATTAACAAAAGGAAAGCTCTAAACTCGGTTAGCCCCTTTTTTCTATGAAGAGAGTTAATTTAGTCCTAAAGAGTAAGGTTTTGCAAAAATCGGACTTCACCAAGACAAACACATATGTAGTCTGTCGTCAGTACCCAATACTGCATTTATAGATGTCGTATACTCTCATTCATCATTTCTGCAATCTCAATTTATCGTTCGTCCCGATTCCACCACTGTATCAGAGGAGCAAGTTCGCATCTTAATGGGATGCTTGATAGTCATGAGCAATCTGCTGCTTCTCAGTCAGAACCTTTAGAATATTTAATCATTTACTTTCCCAATGATTTTTCCGATCTTCAGTTTTCCTCAACTCTCGAGCCAGCATGCGACGTCGATACATATTCTTTACATTGGTAAGCATAGGTGACATACTAGATGGGACATATCTTATCTATCCAAGTATCATGCGAATTGGCCAGATGGCCACTGGTACATTTTCAGGAGGTAGAGCTTAGAACCGCTTCATTTGGAAAAAAAAAACTGGTGAATTTGTGATTAAGGAACATCCTTATGGGGTTGCGCTAGTCGAGGTTACATGGTATTTCGCATCTACGGTACAGAACTTATATCCGTCTCAATGCTTATTATGTCGGCAGAAAAGGCTATTGCTGTGTTGTTTATAGTGCCTTACAGGTAATTCGATTCAGACTATTTAGATCAGCAGATGATTTTCTAGAAAAGTCTTTTATGATTTGCCCTTCATTGCAGACGTTACGCCACGAATAAAGCTCGTTTCATAACAGCTGCTGTCTGTCTACTTGTCTGTTTATTCTCTTTGGGTACTATGTTTTGCACCTCGTATTTTGATAATCGGGCAGAGGTACAGGAGGATAAGTATTGTGGAATTTCTGGCAGGTATGCTTGACTAGTTGGATCGGAACCTTTTAAAAATGATGTGATGAGGTAGTTACTTGCTTGACTACCGCTAATGGAAATATATCAACTTCGCCTGGAAGGGAGTTCCTTCACAAACCCGATGGTCAGGCAAAGGTGTTATTACTTGATCGCCTGAATAAGCTTACGTGCAAGGCCTAGCATTTCCATCCTTTTCTGTCTCTCGCTAGAATCATGCCCAGTGTTGCTAATAACTGCGGCGGCGATGTTCGCGAGGTACTATTTGTTTCCAGCTGAAATTTCAGCTGGTTCACCCGTAACAAGTAACTCATCTGTTCGATAACCTCCCTTGAGGGTTTTCACGAAGAACCCATTCTAGAGTTCTTGGCGTCCATGTAGCAACTGTCTGTTACCATATAACCAGCTCATCTAAAGGACGTATTCCGTGAAGACGAGACATTAATCTCATATCTGGATTGCGAAGTAGTGGGGCAGTTGGCCTATGTCGTCACGTAAAATCTACCTCTTAGTCGACAAACGCTGACAGACATTAGTTAGACACTGTCAAACGTTTTCACATAATTGAGGAAGGCGGTTTCGCAAAACTCGATATTTCGGATAATCTTCAAAACTATCTGGATGTGAAAAACAGCCAAATTTCTTGCAAAATTCAGCACAGTTGAGCTTCATTCAATGTTCCTGATATGCGAGAATAATCTTCATGTGCAGAGCTTGTGAAGCAAGCTCAGCAGGCATATTGTACGATAGTCTCAAAGATCTCTATCGCTTTTGTGAAGGAGGTTTGTACGGGAGGTTCCTGGTGGGGGGATCCTTTCCTTTTGAAAGTAAGACGTTAGGTGCGCCGCAAGTATCTCGTGTAGGCGATGTCGCTGTAAGAACCCGGCCGAAAGTCCCAGCACCATGGCTGTCTTCATGGCTGGATTGCGGCGTGTACTTCAGCAGGAAAAATGCTTAATAAATGCTTCTCCAGAGATAAGGGGCTTGACACGGGTGTTGATGAGCAGAAGAGATTGTAGGATTTCTACGTAACCAATTTTATCTTCTGTCGGGATAATGTGCGAGTCCTCTCATTATTTAGTAATGATTTCAACAGAATGTGCGGTAATGAAAAGGTCCCGGCAGTATTTAGATTTCCCCATCTGTGCGTTGTTTCTATAAGTTTTGATTGCTTGTTTCAAGGATTTTCTTGGAAAGCTATTTGCAGCGACTAACTGTCGCTCGAGGGTGGCTTTTGAAATTTGTCCCAATTCTCTTGTTCAAGGCATCAAGACTCTTTCTATACAAGCTCTCAATCTTCCTAAGAAAGAGAAGTAGGTCGTGCCTTCGCTGGGTCCTCCTAGCTGGGCTACTCACACGTAGTCAAAAGCTCCTCCAAGCTGACGCCGTCATATACGAATTCTTTCCTTTCTTCAAATGGTGACAGTTTTTTTTTCCAGCTTTCGGCTGATTCACACATTTGCTCGAAGTAGGAGGTGGGAAATACTGCTGAAGAATGCTGAGTCATCCATAACCCTCGGTTGGAGAGAATGTGATCCATTTCGCATGAGACGTAACATGGGCGATGTCCACCATCGGTGTCCTTTTCTTCATAAAGGCGGGTTGTCACGAAAAGGCGTTGTTGAAAGTTGCGAATAAGAGCCCAACAAGACAGTCATATTTTCATTTTGGAATCCTCGAAGTCTCCCAATCTTATGCTCCCCTTCTTCTGGCGCCGCCGTTTTAGCATCCTCCAAATCCTCACTGAAAACATACAATTCTTGTCATCAGCTGCTGTTGGAGAACAGCGGTTGATGCTAGCGATGGTTTTCTGACGCAAAGGCCGGAGTCGAAGGATAGCCAGGCGAGGTAACAGGATCTCATGCGAATTGACAAGATGGACAACAGATGGGTGTAAAAAAATCCAACGCCTCCAACTTTCCGTGATGGAACCTTTTCACGATGAGTGTGCCATCACTCAGCTGCCTCGCGTTCGTTTTCCTGGATTTTTATCTGCGAGGCGATTACGTGGTAGTTGATCCGCCCTGCAGCTTCGAGAAGGCCGTGAAGATCGGCGTTGGTGGAGATCGTCCTGGCGTTGAGGTGCAGTGCATGAGACAATCTCCATAGCGAGCTGCATCCGTTTGCCCAAAATCCATGGCCTCCTGTGCAACCTGACATCGATCTTGATGACATCGTATTCAAAAAATGTATCCAACGTGCAGCGTTTTAAAACCTTTTACATGCTGTGCAAGCAATGGAAATTTTCCCCACCTTAGCAGCTTTGCCGGAGCATGTTAAGGTTTCGCCACAGGCATTCGCTGACCTATGTGGCTCAGAAAACCACTT